CATCCCCACGATAAAATACAAAAATTGGCTAGGTGCTACTCTGGGCACACTGCCTATAGGGGAGCCCTGCTCTGCAAGGAACAGCACTGGGGGGAAAAAAGGGAAAAGAAAACAAAGGAACAAGCAAAACAAGAAAAACAAAAAAGAGAAAAAAATATGAGCAGGGCATCGTGGTGAGTGCCTGCAGTCCCAGCTACTCGAGATGCTGAGGTGGAAGGATTGCTTAAGTCCAGGAGGTTGAGGCTGCAATAAGAGTGATCAGGCCACTGCACTCCAGCCTGGACAGCAGAGCTCACTGCAGCCTCGACCTCCTGGGCTCAAGTGATGCTTCCACCTCAGCCTCCCGAGTAGCTGGGACTATAGGTGGGCACTACTCTGTCTGGCTAATTTTTATATTTTTTTGTAGAGACAGGATTTCGCCATGCTGCCTGGGCTGGTCTCCTGGACTCAAGTGATTTCCCCACCCGTGGCCTCCCAAAATGCTGGGATTATGGGCATGACTACTGCACCCTGCCCTTTTTTCTTTTTTTGTGAGATGGAGTCTCGCTCTGTTGCCCAGGCTGGAGTGCAGTGGCGCGATCTCAACTCACTGCAACCTCTGCCTCCCGGGTTCAAGTGATTTTCCTGCCTTAGCCTCCTAAGTAGCTGGGACTATAGGTGCCTTCCACCACGCCCAGCTAATTTTTGTATTTTTAGTAGAGACAGCGTTTTGCTGTGTTGGCCAGGCTGGTCTCAAACTCCTGACCTCAATTGATCTGCCCACTCTGCCTCCTAAAGTGTTGGAATTACAGGCGTGAGCCACCATGCCCCGCCTACAAAGTTTGTTAAAACTAGCTCTGGTGGGGTTGTAAGGTTATGCGTGAGTTTTCTTTCCTTTTCTTTTCTTTTTTATTTTCCACACCAAACAAAATGATAACACTCAGTCGGGCGCCATGGTGTGGGCCTACAGTCCCAGCTACTCAGGAGGCTGAGGTGGGAGGACCAGCCAACATGGTGAAACCCCGTCTTAAAAAAAAAAAATATGGTGACTTCCCGGGAGCCGGGGACCAACAGATTACCTAAGGAGGGGTGAACTGGCCCAGGTCAGAAATGGAGCAGGTCAAAACTCCCGTACTGATCAGTAGTGGGATCGAGTCTGTGAATAGCCACTGTACTCCAGCCTGGGCAACATAGTGAGACCCCATCTCTTAAAAAAAATAAAATGACTGGACAGGGAAAATGTGGCACATATACACCATGGAATACTATGCAGCCATAAAAAACGATGAGTTTGTGTCCTTTGTAGGGACATGGATGAACCTGGAAACCATTATTCTCAGCAAACTGACACAAGAACAGAAAATCAAACACTGCATGTTCTCACTCATACGTGGGTGTTGAACAATGAGAACACATGGACACAGGGAGGGGAGCATCACACACTGGGGTCTGTCTGGGGGAACTAGGGGAGGGACAGAGGGGTGTGGGGAGTTGGGGAGAGACAGCATGGGGAGAAATGCCAGACATAGGCGATGGGGAGGAAGGCAGCAAATCACACTGCCACGTGTGTACCTATGCAACAATCTTGCATGTTCTTCACATGTACCCCAAAACCTAAAATGCAATTAAAAATAAAATAAAATAAAATAAAAATAGTAATACTCAGACAAAATGAGGAAATCTTTTCCCTAAAATCTACAGGAGTAGAAACTATGAAGGGTGCAGGTTCGTAGAGGATGGAAAAGGGGTTAGGCTTTATGCAAGTGAGAGGACTACCTTAGTTAGGGACCCATGTAGCCTAGGGGATGAGGAGGAAAGAATTCAGGGCCTGCCTGATGGAGGCCTTCTGTCTTCTGAGTGACCTTAGTTTTCTCTGGAGAGGGCGATGCTCGGAGGCTGGGGGCATGAGAAAAATGGAAATAATCATTGCCAATAATGCTCTTTTTTGTTGTTGTTGTTTTATAATGCTCTGTTTTAAGTGCACATTGCTTAGTGGTTTATAAAACACTTTCAAGTCCATAGTCCCCTGTGCTCCTCCCAACAGTCCTGTGGGCTGGGCCAGGTCCAGTGATTACACTCATTTTGCAGATAAAAAAACAGGCTCTCTCAGTCCTGCTGAGGCATGCACTAAAGGCCATTGTATGCCAAGCCTTGTGCTAGTTCTGGACCCAGAGAGACAAATAGGGCTCAGTCCCTGACTGTCCTCAGGCAGCTTCCAGCCTGGGCAGGAAAAGCACAAAGTAAATGAATGATTAAAACTCAGTGTGTAAGTACAATGAGAGAATGGATACAGGAGACTGGAGTACAGACAAGGAGCTCCTAACTGGCCTTGAGAGTTAGGAAAGATGTTTTAGAAGTGGTGACATCGAAATGAGTCTTTTTATTTACTACTACTATTATTTTTTTAGAAGGAGTCTCACTCTTGTCGCCAAGGCTGGAGTGCAATGGTATGATCTCAGTGCACTGCAACCTCTGCCCCCTGGGTTCAAGCAATTCTCCTGCCTCAGCCACCCAAGTAGCTGGGATTATAGGTGCCTGCCACCATGCCCAGCTAATTTTTGTATTTTTAGTAGAGACGGAGTTTCACCATGTTGGCCAGACTGGTCTCTAACTCCTGATCTTGGGTGATCCACCCACCTCTGCCTCCCAAAGTGCTGGGATTACAGGTGTGTGCCATTTTTTTTTTTCCAATTCCTGAGCTCAAGCAATCCACCTGCCTTGGCCTCCCAAAGTGCTGGGATTACAGGTGTGAGTGACTGCTCCAGGACAAAGCCATATTGTAAGAGCATTCTATAATTTGCTTGTCTTCACTTAGATTTTCTTTTTTCTTTTCTTTTCTGAGACAGGGTCTCACTCCTTTGCCCAAGCTGGAGTGCAGTGGTGCGATCAAGGCTCACTGTAGCCTCAACATCCCAGGCTCAAGAAATCCTCCCTAAGCTTCCAAGGTAGCTAGAAATACAGATGTGTGCCACTGTGGGCGTCTAATTTTTGTATTTTTTGTAGAGATCAGATTTTGCCGTCTTGCCCAGGCTGGTCTTGAACTCCTGGGCTCAAGTAGTCCTCTCCCTTTGACCTCCCAAAGTGCTAGGACTACAGGCATGAGCCACTGCATCTGACCTCTTAGTATATTTTCACTCAGCAAATACAAATCTACATAAATTTTTTTTTTAATTTAAATTTAAATTTTAAATTTTTATTTTTTAGAGACAGGGTTTTGCCATGTTGGACAGGCTGGTTTTGAACTCCTGACCTCAAGTGATCCACCCGCCATGGCCTCCCAAAGTGCTGGGATTACATAAAAATTTTAATGACTTCTTTGGTACTTTTTAACCTATGAATATATCACAGTGTATCACAATGTATTCAATCTCCTAATATATTGTACATTTATTTCTAACATTTAGTGACTATAAACAATGTCGCAAAGAATTTTAAAGTTCATATGTGTGTACTTTTCTAATGTTTTTTCAGATGAATTCTCAGATAGAATTGATCAATATACTTTCTCATCTGTATTTATAAACCTGACCAATATTGGGCATTTTAATTTTTTATTTTTTTGAATGAAATAGGTGAAAAATGGCATCTATGTTGTTTTGTTTGCATTCTGATGACTTTTAAAAATAATTATTGGCGATTTATAATTCTTCTTTAAAGTCACCTGTTCCTGTTTTTGGCTATTTTTATTTTGGAGTCTTTGAGATTTTTCTTATCAACTGGGAAGAGATCTTTATATATTGCTGATAGTAATTCTTTGTCACAGACTTGCAAAATCTTTCTTTTTCTCACCTTTCTTTTGCCTTTAGAACATATTTTTTTTTCTTTTTCTAAAGTTAATTTGGAAGAATGGTTTTGTCATGATAGCAAGAACATTCCAGTAAGAGAGTAATGATGGGCAGACATGTTGGCCTGTGGGAACGGGGGGTGGGCGGAGCCTCTGCGGCCAGAGGGGTGGAGATTCATCCTCCTCTTTCGCCCCCACCTTCACCAGCTCCACCTTCCCCCGAGCTTCCTAGGAAAATTTGCCCTCATAGATATAGAATGTATTATAAAGCTATCATCATTAAAGCATTGTGGGATTGGCACAGGTGCACATAGAAAGATCAATGTATCCAAGTCAGAAACAGCTTCTAGTATAAAATAGTTCCATAGGTGATGAAGGTGCCAACTAAAATCAGTGGAGAAAACAGGGTTTGGATAAGTGGGCCCTATTACAAAAATTATGTTAGGTTTCTTACTCCAAAAATAAATTCCAAATGGAGCAAAAGATTATTCATTTAAAAATGAAAACATTTGTCATCCTCTTGTAGTGGACAGTAACAAGTGCAATTTGTAACAAGAACTTGAGAGGATGTATGCGAGTTAATGACATGGAGTGAAGAGAGGCTCGGAAGGGTATTATTCCAGGCAGAGAGAACGGCCAGAGCAAGAGTGTGGAGGCTGAAAGGCAGTGGCGTGCGGACTCCAAAGAGACAGGGTCTGGAATCGAACTCAGGACGCCCACAAAGGAATCCAGGGCTGAGTCCATGCCCGCCCCCACAGGCATCATAATTATGTAAAATAGCACTTTTCCCATATATGGTACTTAATATCTGTCCTTCTGGCGGGACGACATGAGTCTGAGAGAACAGCTCGCGGGGCGGGGTGTCAGAGTTCCAGACCTTCCCAGTCGGTTCCCGCCCGGCCTCGCCCGGCCCAGGCAAGGCACCAAAACCCCGGCCCGGAGCCCTCCGCGCCCCCCGTCGCCGCCTCCTGATTGGATTCCCCCTGTGTCAATCCTTGTCCTAGAACCTGGCTGTCCGTTGGACCCGCCCTAGGGGGGCGGGGCTCCCGCCTAGGAAGCGCGGGGGAAGGTGGAGCGGGTGAAGGTGGGGGCGAAAGAGGAGGATGAATCTCCACCCCTCTGGCCGCAGAGGCCCCGCCCACCCCCCGTTCCCACAGGCCAACATCTCTGCCCATCAAGACCAGGCGCGGTCTGCAGTGGGTGAAGCAGGAAGGGAGGCGGGATTGTTTCCCAGGCTCCGCCCCGGAGCCGGCTGCCGGCTGGGAATGGGCCCGCGGCTGCGAGGGCGGGGCGGGAAGGCGGCGAGGAGCCGAGCTGGGTGCGGTGAGGCGCGCAGATCACCGCGGTTCCTGGGCAGGGCACGGAAGTCTGAGCGAGGCTGACCTGCTGCAGCTCCCGCCTCGTGCGCTTGCCCCACCCGGCCGCCGCCCGAGCGCTCGAGAAAGTCGTCTCAGGAGAAGCAGCGCTTGTTTCCCGGGCAGATCCAGGTTCAGGTGAGCGAGCCCCACCGCGGTCCCGCCCCGGGCAGGCGGGCGGGGGCGAGACGCGCGGCCGCCGGGTAGACTTGTGGTTCTCGGCCTCGGTGCGGCCCGCCACCCGCGTGGGCGGGCGCGAACGCCGGCGACCGGGCCCGGCGCCGCATCCTGCCCAGGGGCACCAGGACCCCCGCGCGGGCGCTCGGGGAGGGCGCCGCCGGCTGCGAGGCCTCGGGGTGCAGGGGCGGCCCCGGGACCCGGCGCTCCCCGGCGACCCCCTGTGCCCCCCGACGCGTTCCCGGGACTGGGCACCGGAGCCGACCTCCCCCTGCCGCTGGGGCACGCGCCCCGCCCTCGCCTCGCCTCGCCCAGGCCCGACTCGGGCAAACTTTTTAACCCCTTCTGGAGCCGCGTCCCGGGGCCGCACGGGTTGGGAGCCCGGGGCAGCCGCTCCCGTGGAAGTTCCCCGGGTCGGAGGCACGGAGGTAACGGGCAGCGGGCACCGTTTGGCAGCTGTCAGGGCGTCCTCCTGAGTCAGAGCCGGCCCGTCCCGCCGCAGACCTTGCACCCGGCCGGGTTTCCGCCTCCGCGGCCGACTTCCTCATTCGCCCGCTGCGGTCGGGCCGGCCGGGGAGGGCCCGGGGGAAGGTGCGGGGGCTGCCGGACAAGGGGGACCCGGCGGGGATCCGGGCGCGAGGCCGGAACGGCCACCCCAGCTCCTGCTCCAGCCCTCGACCTCCGAGGTCTGTTCCCCCCGGGAGGAAGGCCCAGAACGCAGCAGCCGTCGGGGCCGCCTAGGCGTGCACCTGATTCCACCGACCCGGGGGCCGTCCCGCCCGGGCGGGGCGCGGGGGCAGCTGGCTCTGCAGTTACCACCAGGCCTGGGCGATTGCTTCTTTCGTGTTTGAGCCAGATCGGAGTTTTCGATTCTCCACTCCCCGCACCCGCTTCCCTGTGCTGGGGTCCTCATCCCATCCTGTTCTGGGGCCACGCCCAGGAGACGGGACTGCGGCACCCCTATTCCTGCTGGGAAGCCCTGCTGTTTCAAACTGAGATGGAGCACCCCCATCACTAGCTTGCCGGCTGTCCTGAGGTGGAGGGGTGGGCAGGGTGAGCGCGCGGCCCCACCCAGCCGGTGTGGGGAGAAGACTCCGAGGAAAGCCCCTGGTCTTGGAGACTGGCGGCTCTCTCCACTGGGCAGTTGAAAGGCCCAGCCACTTCTCGGTTCACTGCGCCCTTTTCTGGGTTTAACAGGGTTTCAAAGTAACTGTTGAGTAACTGGAAAGGGAAGAGAGCCTTAGCTCCTTCTCCACGCAGGGCAACACTGTGGCCATTCTAACTCCACTGTCTGGGCCAGCGCTCATCACCTCACCTGATGGCTTAGGAGTCCCTTTTTGGGTAAGGAGGGAGGCCTGTTGAGACAATCACTCAATTAATAATAGTCAGTTTGTATACAAGGCTGCTATGTGGGGGGAAGGGGACACACATGTGTAATTGAACAAATATTTAACTGGCCTTTCTGTGCCAGGGACTCTGCCAGGTGGTGGGGGGTGGGAGGTTGAGTAAGACCTGGCCCGTGCCCATGGGCAGTTAGAGGAGAACTGAGACAGATCCGTAGATGAGTCTAACGTGAGGTGGAGATGACAGGGACCCCGGAAAGGTACCGTGAGTCATGGGGATTGGGAGAAGGGGGCCCTGCCTCTGCCCTTGGGGAGTTTACAGTCCTAAAGGGGAAAGTGGCAGAACGAGTGAAATACAAAGGCAGCCTGTGATGTGTTTCCCAGGCATGCCATAGACAAAGGACTCGAGGAATTTCAAGGCTGAGAGGGGCCACTTCTCTGGGACAAGGAGGAAGTTGCTATGAGGGAGAAGCACATTGCAGGTTTGGCAAACTGAGGCAAGCACGCGGTGTTAGAAAGTGAGGAGCCTCTTAGTGGGTAATTGGGGGGTAATTAAAAACATGGAGAGATTGCTTAGTGTCATTTGAGAGCCACTGTGCCCTCCATGACTGTGGGGTGACACCAAAGGGCTTCAGTCTTCACACTCAGCAAGCCCTGGTGGCACAGGTGGGCAGATCCAGGTGTCTGGAGAGCCGGGCGTTGGCAGACTCTGGGGAGTTCTCCGGCCCTGGAGAGAAGAGCAGCATTCTGTGGGGCTGCTCATCTAAAAGGTCCAGGAGGGTAGGGGAGAGGGAGGATCAGGGCCCTGGCTTTCTTGCTTTTATTTTTAAACTTTTTAACCTAAGGGGTTGGAGATGGGACAACTTCTGTCTTGTAGGATGAAGGACGCATGTTAATCACAGCCTGTCTTTTGCCCGCTCTTGCTCCAGAAAAAACAAAACAAGGATCTGTTAGCTCTTTAAAAGAAGAAACACGCTCACAAATGCAGCGTTGTTGTGTAGCCTGGTAGGGTATTGCTAGAAACCAGGCCGGCTGTGCTTCCTCGACTTCCTCTTCTAGCTAATCCTTCAGTAAAGTGCTTAAGACACCCCTTGCCAGCTTGACATCTTTATTTCAAAAGGAGCTGAGGGGCTGGCTGTTGTTTTCCTCCGAGCCTGGCCCTACCCTTCTCTTGAAGGGGGAGAAAGAGAAACCAATGCAAAGGAAAAAAAAAAAATCTGTGTCTTGACAGCTTCCTCCTAAGCATCATGTTCCAAAAATATTTAGAATAACAAAATCTGTGTGTCGTCTTAATTAAACAAACGATCTAATTTACTGAGCATAAAACAGCATCTCTGCCTGCTGGGGCAGGAAGTGCATTTCCCTTTGTGCAGCCCCAGAGAGTCACTGCCTCTCAGTCTTAACCCTTGATGTGCTGAGACCCTGGGTGGGAGTCCTCTGCTGACAAAAGAATGCAGCCCTGGTAGTGCTGCTCCCGTGGCCTACTGAATCCCATTGTTAGAACTGGGAAGAGTGGGGTAGTGGAGAGAACATGAGCTTTGGAAACAGGCAGAGTTCAAATCCTGACCCTGCCACTTACTAGCTTTGTGACCTTAGGCAAGTCATATAGCCTCATTGCCTTGATGTGCTGACGTGTACTATGGGAATCAAGATACTACTTTTCGGGGTTAGATGTGTTAACTGAAAGAAATAAGGTATGTACAAGGCCTAAAATGTACTGGCTGTATGTATAATATATGTGTAATATACATGTAACACATATAACTTGTAATATCCAATAAATGTGTATATGTATAATATATGTGTCTATAACATGTATATGCATATATTAATATATGCATATATTATATAAATGTAATGTATATAATAAATATATAGGCCGGGCGCGGTGGCTCAAGCCTGTAATCCCAGCACTTTGGGAGGCCGAGGCGGGTGGATCACGAGGTCCAGAGATCGAGACCATCCTGGTCAACATGGTGAAACCCCGTCTCTACTAAAAATACAAAAAATTAGCTGGGCATGGTGGCACGTGCCTGTAATCCTAGCTACTCAGGAGGTTGAGGCAGGAGAATTGCCTGAGCCCAGGAGGCGGAGGTTGCGGTGAG